TGTAAAAACTTGATAAGATCTGACTATTTGAGCTATTTCAGTGAAGCAAAAAAGAACACATGAAAACATGTGTTTAACTGAACATCTTCAAAGTTACCCTCCTCAAAACTGATGAGTAAGGAAATTAAAAGAATTTAAAAGGAAAAAAATGTCAAAAGAGTGATTTTAAAAACATTATGCTACAGATCCTAAAAATCTAATTATCTTAGTTCAATTCTTAACCACTGCAAAAGATAAGACACAGCAAAACAAACTAACTAGCTATCACTTGATTCTGCTTAATAACAGTTTCCTATAGGTAATAATAAACTGAACCATATAAATGGAGAGAAATCAGAATCACAAAATTCTGTAAGGAAAAAAATACAATCCAAAGGAAAAAAACTAAAGAAATATCTAATTAAACAACTGAAATAAAAGATAACTACTGTCCTATATGACCTTCCCAGGTGGCTCAGTGGTAAAGAATCTGCCTGCCAATGCATTAGATGCGGGTTCAATCCCTGGGTCAGGAAGATCCCCTGGAGAGGGGACTGGCAACCCACTCTAGTAGTCTTGCCTGGGAAATCCCAGGGACAGAGCAGCCTGGAGGGCTAGATGACTTAATGGCTAAACAACAACAACAACAACAACAACTGTACTATCTGGCAAAACTAACGGATGGGAAAAAAATCAGAGCAGAATTAAAGTTTTATTACATCTTCATTACCACTGAATCATAACTTGAGGTACTCGTCCAAAAACTGTTTTTTTGGACAAATGACTTTTGTGGTGTTTAAAAAGCACTATAGCTAGATAGTACGTGCATAAATAAATAACAAACCATTAAAATTGTCCTAAGGCTTAGACATTACTTTCAAGAAACAATCTCAGTCATAGTAGTGGAGGAATCTTCCATCGGAGTAACATGTTAGTCCTAAGTAGTTATATTCTGAGAGGCAGGATTTCACTTTCAAGTCCTAAAAAGTCATCATCATGAGGCTCTACTTTGGTCATGTAATAGCACATTTGATCCATTTTCTTTTCTGAAAATGGAAAATCAAGAGGAATAAAGCACTGACCACACTTACAATGTTTTCTTTAAAGTCATGGGAAACATGGTGCCTATTGTTCATTATTTGAGTGGGACATTTGGTTCGTCTTGTCTACAACAATTTAATGGGATGATACACAAAGATGAAGTCTTTACGCTTTTACATTTTTCAGTCAGAAAAAGCAAGCTCAGATACTGTGAACTACCTGTCCTATTTCATAGGGAGCACCTGTATTACTGCCACATCTGTGGAAGCAACAGTATCAGCCAACTGTTAATCAAGGATCACTTCCCTTCAAAGTGACTGATGATCCACTGTTAAAACAGCTTATAAAAATAACTTCTTCAAAAAGGTGCTTCAGGGTTTTCAGACACATCTCACTGTTCCTGCTAGTTTAATGCATGTTTGAAAGTTAATTTCTCATTAATATTTAAAGAAGAAATGACTTAAGAACAAATTTTTAATGATCCATTACAGTTTAGAAATAAAATATTATTGGCATTATTTTCATCTCAATTACAAGGAATAACAGTGTCCAAGATTAAGATTAGCTTTTAAAACTGTTAATGAGCCCTGGCAATGTGAAAAAGATATGGATTAGGTAGATGTAATGAGATATGATTAAAGGGTGCAGGCACTGAAGGGTGTTGGAGAAATTCTTTTCAGAAAGAGTATAATTAGTGCCTGATAAAAGTACTTAGTAGATAAGATTTTTGAAGAAGAAAGGTTAAGATAAACACATACTTTATGACAAATCTGCTGAATTTTTCCACTTTGGTTCTCTTACATTCTCAATATTATGTTGAAATTTCATACATAAATAATGTTTGTCGAATACTTGATGCAATTCTACCAGACAATTAGAATGTTTTAATTGCCAGACACGGAGAGCAGAAAATGTGTTGAAACATCTTATTCCATTTTCAGTGTACATTTCTTTGTTGATTTATGTAATGTAGCTAATAATATGCAACCTACCCTAGTTTTAAACAAACAAATGAACTTCTAAAAAGCAAGCTTTCCGTAAGTTGCTAAGCAACTCCAAAGGCACATTTTATTAATTTAATAAATAACATTGTAGATGACAAATCCTCTAGGAATATTTCTAACTCCATTTTATAAAAAGTAGAAAATCTAAGTAGGTACCCTTCTGATTTTCCTATTTCTAAGACCTCAGGGCTAAGAAGAGACACCGCCATTTTAAGGGGTACATTTGACTCACTAAACAAAACATTTCTTCCATCAAAGTTGTTACTGTAATAGAAGTTAGGTTCTGGGACTCCTTGGGTAACTCTCCAGAGTTAAGAGTTCATACTTCATTCCCGCTGAAGGTTTCTCAGCCTCAGTACAATTGCTTTTGGAGACTAGGTAATTCATTGTTATCAGGGGTCTCTCCTCTGAATTGTAAGATATTTAGTAATACCTTTCCCTGGCTTCTACTTACTAAATGCCAACAGTGGCCCCACAGTTGTTACAAAAATGTCTCCAAACATTGCCGGTTGGCAGAGGTGTGTCAAAATCACACCCAGATGAGAACCACTGGATCATGGGTAAACATGCTAAATGAGAAAGGTTTTTTGAGCTGTAACTGGTGATGAAGATATCCTGAAATTAGTAACCATCAGTCAACACCTAACATCCCCTGTCACCACCAACAATGAAGAAAAAAGTAGTAACATATATTCCAGTGGTCTGTGGCTCTTATCCTATTCAAGACTCCTTACTGATTTTATTATTTCTATGTAATTTCCACTGTATAAAAACTGAGAAGAAAGGGCCTAATGATGACTCTGTCTACAGTCACTCTATAGAAATATACCATTCTAGAACTGCAACCAGAATCTTTTCTCATACTCTTTCTCCCTCAATTTTCACTACGCTCAGTTGCTGGCTAGAATCATTTTAAACATAAATCTCAATTTTAATCATGCCATCCTTTGCTTACAGGGCCACCACAGGTCTCCATCCCCTCTACTATCAAATACACACTCCTCTGCATGGCCTGCAAGGTTTCCTACAAATTACCACCAAAACTCCATCTCATCAAATATCTTTCTCATTCTCCATTTATGCCACCTTTACCACCTTGAACACAAACGGCTTGCATTTTCAATCTTCCTATGTGGTACATAAAGGACAGATTCATTTTCTCCATGAAAGTTTTCCTAATTAATCCTTCCTGTATTTCTTATCAGTATCATATTTCTGTTAAAAGAATGACACGACTGCAAATTAATTTGTGAGGCAATTGTTTACTGAATGTTTTCAATATGCCAGACACTGAACATTGGTTAGTAGCTGTTTCTATTAATTTACATTCATACTATTTATCCCCAACTAGATTGTAAGTTCCCAGAGGATAAGAACAGGTCTTATTTGTATCCCTCTGATGCCTCTTAATAATGATGCTAATAAATACACTTTAAATTTGATTAGCAATTATAACCTTTCAAATTACTTTCATGGTTATTAGCTTTTTGGTTATATATTTTCACTATTTTACAGTCAATGAAAGTGGGACAGTAACTGCCCTAGGGACTAATCTATAGGTTACACAACTGGTGCGCAGCAAAATATGCATTTAACATGTGTTGACTGACTGAATCACAACTACGAAAATTTCTCTGGTTACATAAAGTTCTTACAGCATTTAAAAACAAATGCTATCATAAAGAACGAGCACAGTTGAATGATGCATAAGTGAATTAAGTTTGGCAAGGATTAAACTGTAACATAGCAGGAAAGCAAAAGAGAAATCTCTTAGTTTTTGCCTCAAATTGTCTACAAGAGATTAACTTCATAAGGCCTTGACCTCTTAACTTCATAAGGCCTTGACCTCTTACCACAGAAGGTAAAACTTTAAAAAGAACGCAAAATGTAAAGGAAAGGTCACAAAAGGGCTGATAAACCCCCAAATTCTAAAAATCACAGCATTTTACCTCATACATATGAAAAAGTTCAAGAAGACACTTTCAATAACTCTAATAAGAGATCTCCTCCCACTGTTTTGAGGAGTCCCTAAAAACATCAAAGTGCCCATACAAGAAAAAATTATCAACCTTTCAACCGAATTCAATAAAATAACGGAAATGAAACGTCAGCTGATTTCTGAGGATACCTACCACCCCTAAGCACCATGTGCCTAGGGAAACAGCAGCATTCATTTGGGCTTTCAAGGTTTATTGCATGCCTACTAAGTGCAGGGACTGGCCGAGGCCCTGGAAAACAGGCCTAAACCTCAATTGCTGGTGTGAACTGGTGCGGGGAATTCCGAAAGGGGAAAGGTGACCTGAGAAGACAAAAAAAAAAAAAAGATTTATCTTCAATGAACTTTTTCTTTAAACCTCTGGCCCTCCTCTACTCCACCCGCCCACCCCCCAAGTTTAAGAAGGCGAAGAAATTAAAGTCAAAAAGAAATGAATGGAACAGGTAAAGTTCCCACTGGCCACGGGAAAGTTACATAAAACAGCTCTCAAAAATATTCTTCAGCCGGGTGATTGGGCGGGACCGCAAAAGCCCACGGGCCGGAAGTACTGGGGAGGGGAGAGTCAGGGCACCCCCGCGCCGGGGGGACCGGAAGTGCAGGACCTGGGATGCGCGGGAGAAATGGGCCTGGGCAGGGCTTGACTCAAGCACCGAGACATCGAGGCCTCTTCAGAGAGTTCTCTGAGCACCAGGCCCCATCGCACCATAGCAGGCTTTCTGCAAAATAGGCATTTTGGAGCTTTTCCGAAGAGGTTCCTAGAGGTGGCGGTAACCTTGACGGGCGGTCTGCAGCGAGGCTCCGCGTTCATCTCCCATCCTCTGCCTGGGCAAATCTGCGACCCCCCCACACCGGTACGCGGAGGGGAACGGACGCCCCGGACCCCTAGTCGCGCGGGTGGGGTTGGGGTGAAATCCTGCTCTGCGTCCGCCGCTCGGTGCTCTCTTACTGAGGGAGAAAGACGAGTGGGCGGCAGGGCGGGGTCACGGCGGGCCGGGTGTTAGAAAGCTGGCCCTCTGGGGGGTCCGAGGCTCCGACTTGGCCGCTGAAAATGTACCTGAGGCAGGGGCTCGTAGCGTGGGCTTTGTTCTGGCCGCCTTCTCCAGGGCCGCGGCCGAGACGGCGGAGCCGCTGGAGGACGGGACAGAATACCGACTCCGGCCTTGGCGGACGCCGCGGGCTCGTGCAGCGCTTTGCGACCGGCGGAGGAGGCAGAGGGCACCGAGGAGCCGTTTTGAAACTAAATTGTTAAGAATGAAAGTTGGCACCAGGGTTTTTATCCGGGCATCTAGATAGAGTAGAAACTCGGAGTCTTGTCTCTGTCTTCTCCGATCTCGAATTAATTCTGAAGCTGTCGGCCTGGCCTGCATATGTGGAGCCAGAGGACAGGGAGCGCCTCTCTATTCCACCCTCTCAACCTCTCTCTTCCCGCGTTGGAGCGCCCTCTCCCCCCGTAACGAGTCGCCCCCGCCCCTACCTTCATCCCACACACTTCATTGGACCGTCTCAGTAGTCCCTGACATATTCCACAGAACACAAAAGGACCAGTGCGCACCACTTCACTCGTTCTCAGTACTGGGCGACGTACATCAGAATAGGAGAGCTGGAGAGTTTCTTGCTGGCCTTAATATAATTAAAATGCACCGGCCCCGTGTGTCCCCAAAGGCACAAGAGGAAAAGTGTTTGGACTCAGTAGTGATGGTCAGTGGATGTGCACAACGTCACTTATCACTTTTAAGACCCCCCTCCCCCACTAGGCATAAACTGAGAATTCACTTGTGAGAGGAAATAGCTTTCGAGATGATTTTCCATCACATTAAATGTATGACACCTCCGCATTCTCTCTCTGAATGTCCAAAGATGGGATGGAAACTCTAGGTTAATTTCCAAATGTTAGTGACCCATAGGAGCCCTAACTCCCCTTCCTGCACTGCCTGCTCCCTCTTATCTTGGGAATGGAGAGAAACCCTGGGGTCTGTAGGACCCTAACCACTTCTGATTGTTGAAAGCGGGAGGAGGGATGGAGGAGAGAGATGGAAAGGGAAAAAAAACACACACACACATTTGTGTTCATTTACACATTTCCTGTGCAGAACAAAAAAGTCCCACCATCAGCAAAAGAAGTCTCTTCCTCCAAAATAGCAGCCAAAGAGGGAAAATTAGAATATGCATAAATTTCTTCATTTTCATTCTCTCAGAGCACGATTTCCGGCAGATTTGTATTTAAACTGCTCGATTAATCCCAATTTCTGAACAGCGTTTTACTTAGCATCTTCCCAAAAAACTCACCTAGAGTATTGCTCTCCTCCCACTACCCTATTTTGAAGGCTTCTCCTTCCGTGTTCAACTGCCAGTGAGGATTTCATTGATAAGACTGTCACTTTATTTTTCATGTCCATTGTCTTCTATTCAAAACTGGACTGATGCATTGGATTGCACTTTAATACAAGCCGGCTACTGTCGGTGAAGCCAAAACTGCAAAATGAGAACCTAGCGGAAAGGATCTGTTTTGGAAATGTGTATCCAAAAGAAAATAAACAGGATGGGACCAATAGACTTTTGCAGCTACTTCTTGGCATGGAATCCTTTCTTTTTGTAACACAGGTCACACGCTCCCACCTTTAGTAATAGTTAGGATGCTTGAACATTTCCACCCTCAAAACTTCACCCTGTCCTCCATTTTTATGGAGTGTGATAGTCACACAACCTTCTTCGAAGGAGTATTACTCATAAATATTCAGAGTGTCAATTCATTAAACACCCCCCACAGCCCATTTTAAAAATATTGATTTTGTCACTTGTGCAACACATCTACCTGTATCTGCCTTGAAAAATTCTTTGCTGGAAAAAATGTTAGCATCATTTGAAACCATTCCTTTTCTGTGATATGATAGTTTGACTTGGGCTTACCTCTCGTCTTTGAAACTGTAAATATTTCTTTTATTTAATAGTAGAATATGAATGTTTAAAGAATGAAATGACTGCATCTTCATTTACTGAAAACATAAATAGATCTTAACTCCACTCACTGCTAAGTTCCTTACTCCTGCACACCCAGAACAGAAAGACGCCTGTATTTGCTTCATAGTACAGTCCAAGCAGAATGTCATGGTTCTGACTTTCCTTCCTTCAGTGTTTATAAATCACAAACACCAATTATGGGTGGTTAAAAGTTAGAAATACTAAAATGTTTAGTTCTTAGTTTCTAAAGTGTACATGTTTCAACTATATTCAGCATAGTACGTATGGTATATGTGCATAATCATTTATATTTGTTGGCTAACGACATTTTTAAGGTACTGGGTTATAGAAACCTACTAATTTTGTTAAATGGGTGCATAAACAGTGCAGGTGAATGTCTGCATGACTTTTACTACTTTTTGAAATGTCTACTTTTATTGTTTCTTTACTTTGTGTCAAATATTCCCATTACAAATGTATTAACTTAGTTTATTTTAGTTAGGCATGTCTCCAATGACTCAGAGGTTCTCAGATATGTACAATTAAAGCCAAGTTGTTTGAAAATAAATTCTTAAAAGCCATACTTTGGGAATGTACATAACAGGATTGAGGGCTACTTTTACTGGCGATGTTGGTTTCTTTTAATTTTCTCATTGAAACAAATGATAGTTGTTTTTTAATCAAGGAATAATTCAAATGAATAAAAACAATCACAATAACTGAGAATATTTTCCATAAAGTATTTTAATTGGAGTTGGATTTTATATGGAAAGCTCCAGTTTGATTTCAAGTTGCAGAGTTGCACTTCCAGGAGAGTGGAGTGAACTTAGTAGTTACTAGTTATTATTGGTGCACAGAGAAGGTCTGGGGGTGCCACTGAGGAGCAGAGCAATATACAGCTTCAGCCAAAGTTGTCTTTCTCCTGTAGCACGCTGAGCATCGCCTCAGTGAATTTATCCCTAGAAATGAAAGCTCTTCATTCTCGGATCTTTCATGAAAAACAATCTCATGAACTGTAATATTTTCATTACGTTTTTAAGTGAAAAGACTAGATGGAAATGAAAAAAGATCCTTCAACCTCCCTGTTGTGAAAGGTGAGGAGATAGATGCACTATGTAAGACCAGCAGGGCAGTTCCGTCCTTTTTTTTTCCCTCCCTTCCTTCAACTACCATTTCGTTTAGTTATGGATTGCATGTATATGATAATATCTAAAGAAAAGAGTTTTCTTGAGGACAAAACTGGCTATTGATAGTATGCCTTTCTTTTTGCAATTGTGTTTTAACAAGGCATGAAGATCTTTTCTCATAAATTTTCAAGGCTACATTAATTTGCAGGAAAACAAAACAATGCAAACACATCTTACAATCACCCTTCTTTCCTTTTAAACTGTCCTTCTGTTGCTAAAGTCCTTTTCCATTTGGTCCTACCCAAATTCCTTCCGCTGGGCTGCCAAGGAATTTCTCTCATTTTTTGCTCTTCTCTCCCACAAATGCCCATCCTTTTCTCACCAGCTTTCGTTCCCCTCCAAAATGAAAGCAGTTACCCAAACAATCTGCTTTAACCCCCACATCTGCCTGACAAACACTGAGTCTTAGTTCTCTCCCTGTCTGCTTTTTATTTGCTTTCATTTCCTTTTTCTCGGGGATGGGGTGGATAGGGGCTCAGGACATCGGGAGAACTTTGGGCTGAGAGGAGAGTAGGATGCCTGCAGATACAAACGCAGTGGCAGATTCTTTCCAGGCTCAGGAACTGGTGGCTGTTCTTGTACCTGGAACAATAAACCTTGACAGGTTTACAACTGATAAAAGCACCTCTCCCTCCTCCTAAACAGATGGGTCAACTTTACCAGCTAGATTATCACCAGGTCCTTACATCTTCCACCTGGTCTCCTCCCTCTGCTTCCACTCCCTCCACTTTAGTGTCCTCTTTGCATCCCTCCATCTCCAAAGCTATCAGAGCTCATCCTGGAGGCCGTAATTTCTAATTTTTGTGTCTCACCCAATGACCTGAGTTCCTTAGGGCCAGAATTCTCTTTTGATTCACAGAACCTTAGTTCCTATGCCTTCTCAAACTTCTTGTCTTTGTGAAGGTGAGTCCCAAATATGACAACTTGACCATTCACCAGAAGAGCTCCAGTCAGAAGGTACCAGGTCCTTCTACTCAAGAATCCCTTCACCTGTCTGTCTCTGCTTCCAGGTCTGTTCTGGGTTGATTGATTTGGGAATAGTGTCCAAGGGGGACATGCCCATAGCAGTGAAGAGGGGACACAAAAGCACTCAGTGACACTAAAAAGATCCACCATGTTAGACCAGGGGAGTCTATTAGAACACAAGTTGGGTAGGAACAGATCATCCATCTAACCAGTGATACAAGATATCAGAGGAATGTCCAACTGCAGCCATGAAACACAAATTTCAGACTGAAATAGATTCCGTCTTCATCCTGTTGGCCAGAAAAAATATTTTTAAATTGTTTATGCTATTATTGTTTGTATTATTATTAACATTTTATTTTTGTCATTATTGCTGCAGTTTTTGTTATTTTATTTTTGTTGTTGTTGCTGCTATTATACTACTTAACAGAAGTTTAGAAAGATTAGTCAGATTAATTAGTTTATTGGTAATTTAAAGCTGAAAACTAGTAATTAAGCCAAAAACTAAAAATGATCAGGGATGATTCATACCAATGTAGGATTTGGGAGGAAGAGAATCTAAATTTTGGATATAAAATTTGGCAGCTGTGAAATAAACAGGACTTGGGAATCAGAACTATGGTAATTGGAATATTCTTAGTCACTCAGTCTCTCTCTCTCCCCCCAACGTGCTCCAGATTCAGCTAAGATCACTCTGTGATTTGTTTGATAGAGGGAAAAAAATACATTTGTTTTTGTTGACAGAGAACAAAGACCCCAGGCTTGTTCTTCAGTCATTTGCATTTGCGCGTGAATTCCTTCTGCTTAGGACCATCCAAATACCTAAGATCTCTCCTCTCTAAGTTTGCCTCCTTCATCTCTTTGCTCTTATTACACACCTCACTGAAGAGGGTGCATCATATAAGACAGGTATACAATTTCAGCCCTTTCCACAGACACATTCCATGGAATATAAATTCAATAATGCAATTCTCTCCACAACAAGCTCTCTGCTATCTTTCAAATATAATTAATGTTTTGATAGTGCAGTTCTTTAACTACATATATACACACAAAAACAGACGCACCCTCTAGCTTTGCTGTTTGTGAATCTAAAACAGAAATGGATTCGGCTCTTTCAGTGACTCCTAAAATTCCTCAACTCAGTCAGCCCACAGAGAAGAAATCTGTTTAGGTAATAACTGCACAGTCTGTTGTATGTCCAAAAATACTTAAAACAATAAAAATGCAAGCCCCTAATTTTTG